CTGAATAGTTAGCTTGGTATACAATATGCTACTCTACTCTTTAATTTTATATGCTTTATATCTTATAGGTCCAAAAAATATTCTTTATTGGGTGGAAGCAACTTGCTTATCTCCAACGTGACAGATGATGACAGTGGGACTTACACCTGTGTTGTCACATATAAAAATGAGAATATTAGTGCCTCTGCAGAGCTCACAGTCTTGGGTAAGTTAATGACTCAAGATGCATTTACCTTGTACCCTTCAAAATATATCAAACAGACACTTTAAAAGCTTACCACTGAGTTACTCAGTGTTTATTAATATAAAATTGCAAAGTCCCAGTACTCCACATGTATCCTTGTCCTTCTGTAATTAATTGCATAGGGGTTAAATGTAGTATTTGAATACTTGCTCATTGAATTAAAGTCCAGATGCATCACTCTTTAGTGTAATTATTTCAGGGATGCAGCTGAAGCCTACCAAAATGATTGCCTGCCAGATGTGTGGAATAATAAATGAGAGTCTCTAATATATCACACCTTAGGAAAAGAAATATGAAAGGAATGAGAGAAATTGTATAAAAGTACATACTTGAGAAAACAGTCAGATGTTATTTAAGATGGTAAGGTCTCCAACATTAAATGTAGGTATATTGGTGAGATTCTTTTGTTAATATGGAAATACTGTAGGTGTTATGTTGAAAGTGAACCATCAAAATCAAATACATCTAAGGAAAATACTCATAGCAAAAATTTAATTTGAAGAAATTTAAAGACATAGCTAGGTTCATATTTAGAAAGCTAGTCATCATGAATCATACAAATTCATAATTTATTTGTATTTAGCAGGTACTCAAACAACCATATATCTTATCATCTGTTCCAGATTTCTTTTAGCCACTTTCATTGGAATCATGTCTGGAGAAAGTAGCTTAATAATTGAATTCCAATTGCTTTCCCCATAACAACAAAAAAATTGGTTACTAATATATGGATTTTTCCCTCTAGAATAAATGTATTTGCCTTTTAAAGATTCCAGGAAAAAAATCATAGGCTGTTTAAAAGTCATTCAGTAGAAATGAAAATGTATGGTACACTGATTATATCTGCTAACCTGTATCAAGATATTATTATGGTATCCATTTTGCTTTGTGCCTTTAAGCCTTATTCCAAAAACACTTTCATCTGTGGACAAGGTAATAATGTATATGATGGGTTAGGCAATGGACTTGTTTGTTCTTTGATCAAAGAATAAATATTAAACTAATAACAGCAGAAGAGAACCCCTTTCTTTGAGGTAGAATAGTGCTCCTAACTAAAATATCAGCTGCCTTGAAAATGGCAAGACTTCAATTTACTCATATTTTATATGGAAAATTTTTTGGTGAAACTAAGAAAATCAAGAGAACATTCTTATTTGCAATGTCAAAGTACAGTAACACTGAATCACTATCAGAGATGTTTTCTTTAATATGTATTAATGATCATAAGGTATCTTGGTTTGTTGTGCCACTCTAGTGGAAGATACCACAGGTGGAATGGCTTGAACAAACAGGGGTTTATTCTCTTACAATTTAGGAGGCTAGGAGTCCGAGTTCAAAATGCCAGCTCCAGAGGCTGGATGAAGGCCGCTTAACTTTGGGCTTCAGCTCTGCCTCTTGCTCCCAGCCCACTGAAGCTGGAGACTTCTCTTAACTCAGACAACCCCTGGCTACTGAGGCTGACAAACCCAAGGTTGACAAGTGAAATGGCACAGTTCCAAAAGGATCAAACCACATGACAGGGAACTAATTCAAATCCATTAACAGTCCCAAGAATGGCAGACAATGTGGCAGGCCCTTGAGATGAAGACGCAGGCAAATGCAGGATCCAGATGTGCCAAGAGCTCAAGATGTTCCTCAAAGCTGCTGCTTATATACTGGAAGCAGACCACGTCCCTAAGGTAGCTACTCAGCTGCTCATAGTAGATGTCTACCATGGAGTTGGTTACTAGTTTCATCATGGGGAATAACTATATCTAGCTGGCCAGCCACTCAAAACTAAGCCAAGTCAAGTTGGCACACAACTTAACTACCACAATTTCACCCCTTGTCAACTTGGCATCCATACACATCTCCTTCACTGGGTGGCTCTAGTACCCTAGTTCATCTGAGTGGTGACTTCCATCCCTTGGCCCAGCAGGCCCTGTTTCTCAGCCTTTTGGGCATTGTAGCCCTGCCCAACTTTGGGGCAGTGAATATGGCCCCATCCCACTGGCCCTCATGAATGGCAGCCTTACACTCCAGAACCAAGTTGGTGAAGGTCTGACTCTTTGAGACCTTGCAGACTGTGGTGGTCCTCCAGAGGCCAGGGTCCTATCCTTTGAGGCTGACACAGCTCTGCTTCCCCTTTCTTTGGTCTCTCAGCTTCTTCCAATTAATGCTTGAAGGCAACCCACACTGCCAGGAATCTTCCTGCCCAGATGCACTCAGATTTCTCTCCCCATGGGTTGGTAAGGCTGTTGCTGTGTCATGCCAGTCTCTGGATTCTGCTGCTGCCATCTCTCTGCTGGGGTCTCTCTGCCAGGGTCTCAGTGCAGGGATCTTGGGTCAAGGACTCATTCCACTCTTGTTTCCACATTTTAGGTGTCTGTCAAAGTAGCACCCCACTCTCTTGCTACCAAATTCTGTTTCGGTTCTCTTCTACTGCTCTAGCAGAAAATACCACAGGTGGATGGCCTTAAAACAAGGATTCATTCTCTTACAGTTTAGGAGGCTAGAAGTGTGAGTTCTAAATGCCAGCTCTAGGGGCTGGGTGAAGGCCCCTCAACCTTGGGCTTCAGTTCTGCCTCTTGCCGCCAGCCCACTGAAGCTGGAGGTTTCCCTTAACTCAGCTGCTGTCAACTAAAGCTAACAAACCCAAGTTCGACAAGTAAAAGGGCATAGTTTCCAAATTGTCAAACCACATGGCAGGGCACTAATTCAAGTCTATCAAAAGTCCCTAGATCAGCAGACAACATGGTAAGTCATTAAGATGAAGATTCAGCCAAATGCAGGATCCAGATAGACCAAAATCCCGAGACCGTCCTCAAAGCTTCTTGCATAATGGAAGCAGACCACATCCCTGAGACAGCTGCTCAGCTGCTCCAGTAGATTCTGCTGTGGGTTTGATTACCACTCTCATCATGGGGACTAAGTACAGCCAGCTGCCCAGACACTAAAAACCGGGCCCAGCCAAGATGACACACAACTTAACTACCAATTAAGGCAAATGTGGTTACAGAGTAAACTAGAATTTATACTGATGACAGGTAAGCCTTTTCCATGCAAATACTGATGATCGAATATATCATATTAATGAGCAACATCTTGACATGTAATGCTTTATTGGTATTTTGGCCAAATGTATGCCAATTCTAATTTCTGAGGATTATTTAAATAAATTAGCCAAGATAGATATGTGTGAGGATACGTATACACATGTATATTGATTTTCTGTATGAGTTGTTTAAATTATTTTAAATAATTATATGGTATTTCACACATGTAAAACTATACAAAGATGAATAAGGAAAAAGTAAATAATTTTCCCACTGCAGTCCTTGCATTCCTATTCCTCTGAGGTAAATAATTTGAGTAGCTTGGTATATGTTATTCCATAATTTCGTCATGTCTCATTGAAGCATATATGACTGTATCTAATTTTGTACTTATATGAC